ATATATATATATATATATATATACATACATAGTTGCTTTCCATTTACACACAAATGAAACTGATGAGATTGAAGTGAGCTGAATATTTTATACTCAGATTAATGACGTCGCTACTTGCTTCAGTAAAAAGTTATCACATGTCATAACCTCACTTTGAAATGAGTTTACAAGACTCGCTAAAGCACTGTCTCGATCTTATGCAGATTATGGATAAAAACTCATTGTCAATTGAATCTCACTTATCAGAATGCAAAAGAAACGCGCATTCAATTGAGTTATGACATCATACGTGAGAATTATTTAAGAATTAGTGTAAATGGAAAACAATACTATAGATATACATCTATAAATATACATATATGTCTTTCGCATATATTTTGCAATTGCGGAGGATTCCGCAGAGATACATGCACATTTGTTTGATCCCCAGCAACATCGAGAATCTGCCCCTCTATTTCACTCCATCAATTATTAACGTTGCTTTCGGCTAGCAGAGAACAGCGTCCAATTGATGGAGCAAAAATAGAGGGGCATTTTCGATGTTGTCGGGGGCCATCATTGGTCAGTTTCCGTCTCTCCCCTTCCTCTCTCCATGAATATAATTGACCAATTAGCGTTAGTCATACAAGTTGACTATTGGTCAACTTTACCGAAGACTTAGGACTATCGGCTACCGACTCAGTCATAACATCAGCATAAGCGTGAGATTTCATTTCATTTGCGTATTTTGTATTTTGTCATATGACAAATTTTTTAAGCTATTGATTGACCATAGGATAGAGAAGATCCGAGGAAGATCTTTCTGTCTTGCATATTTATCGTACGACAAAAACGCACAAATGAAATCTCACCCTAATATACATCTATTTCTTTTTAAATATAGACAAATTTTAAATATAGAAAAATATAAGTACAGCTATAAAAAATAGGATATATAAAGGATCTTAAGCCTATTCTAAAACTTTTAAAATCACTTCTATTGAATTTTGAATTTTATATAAGCTGTCGAAAGTATGTTTTTTATAAGTGTATACATTTATTATTTGTATTTGGTATATTGTAAAAATATAGATATTGACAACAGCGTTTTGGGCATCAACTCCAATTGGGAATTATTAACGCCAAGCGGTTTTAGATTTTATCTTCCTGGAAGTATAGGACCTGCTTGGCTAGATACTACTACCACTGCCCAAGTTAAGACTCAGTTCGTTAAACTGTGTGATAAAGAAGAGTTTATAGAACCATTGAACAATAAAAATAGACATCAAAAAGATGTAGAAAATTGGGAGAATATACGGCCGACATTGGACTGTGTGGCTCAGGAGTGTCCTATTCTCTTACGAAAAAGTATAGAAGAACTATTCCCGGGATGCTTAGATGTGACTATGTCACATCTCACTATTATAACTATTAGTCAGAAAGCAAATCTTAAGTCGATGAGATGGCGTAAGGAAACAGAAACAGAAAAACTCGCCAAATATGTAAGTTATATATGACGACGTTGTATGACAATATGACATTTTTGTTTGAAAATCTAACAAATGTATGTCGCTTCTTTATTTCAAAAAAGTGACACTTTTATAATTTTTATAATTAACATTTTTATAGTTAATGATTTTTGAATTATTACGAATTAACATTTTTATAATTAATGATTTTTGAATTATTACGAATGAGATAAATATTATCCTTGATATTATTTCATCAATCATCAAAAGTAAAAGTGAATATTATTTCATCAACAAAGATCATATGAAAACTATATTCTTTTCGCTGATATGATTTAATTTTCTGACAACTTCAAAAACAATTTTTGAAATAAGAAAGTGATATCTCATAGGTCTAAATATATATATCTACACACTCAGAGGAAGGATATTTTCATTTATACATTATAGTCTATTAGTTTGTTTTAGCAGCCTCCGATCTATGTATAAAGCTCAAAATGGTCGGTTACTGGGCAGACTTTATAAATCCTTTCAGTGGACAACCCTACTTGAGTCCAAGAAAGGGCGCCAATCTGTACGAAACCGATGAACGATTTCGCTGCGTAGGATTTAAAGTACAACAGAAGAACAACTGCAGAATTATTGTTTCTGATAGTAGTCTACAAAATTTTATTGGTATGTAAACGGCTACATATATATATATATATATA